AATACCTTTTAAAAAATATATATCGATACAGTCACATTTTGATACTGTGTATCTCTATTCCGTGTAAGCACCTTCTCATTGTTCAGGTTTCTAGCTTAATGTTACTTTTTTCAGAGAAGACTCTACTGACCACTCCTTTTAAAGCAGCTTTGCCCTGCTGTCTTATCAGACCCCTCCCTCACAGCATTGATTATAAATAAGGATAATCCATAATTCACGTTTTGCTCATCTGCTGCAGAAGAATGTAAGCTTCCTGAGGGTCATTTTGTTGAGTGACTGAAAGAATTGGACAGCTCTATTTTTTATTACAAAGAAAAGTTCCTCACTAACTTTTATCATTACAATAATCATAGCCTCTTCCCAGACTACTTTTAAGGAGATCTACTGTGGCTATGTGACATCTTAGGAGTTGGCTATATCTGTCTCTCATTGCTTTGAAATTCTTAATGCATTCAAGTAGTTCTCTCCAAAATACCATTTTGCACATTAAAAAAAAATTACATTTTACTCAGCAAAGTGATAATTAAGAAAAGTATACCCCACTGAAGCTAGTCCACCATGCAGCTGGTGCATACCCATGAATAAGCATTTGGTGGTAAGGATTTTAAGCCAACAATGAGTCTGGATTCCCTTTTTCATTTACTACCTACTTCACTTGTTAAGCTTTGTATTTCTCCACTGTTTACCAGTTATAATTTCCTAGGTTCACTTTGGTGATTGTTTTTAGGCTACAAAATTAATAGTGAAAATTAGGTTGCAGTATGATAATGTTAACTTATCATGAGTTCAGATACAGTGTTTGTTTCGTTGAAATCCTGAAACAAGGAGTATGGAAAGAAATGCTTGGACTAAGGGGCATTTGCAAATAGTGGCTTTGTCACTGTGTAAACCTCAGTTTTCCTCTTTATTATGTGATAAGCAAAGCACATAACCATTTCTCTTTTGCTGCCTATAAAGATAAATACTTGAATTATTCAACTTTAAGCTGTAAGCATCTTCAGTTCATAGCAATGATTTTGGAGAATCACTTTTTTTTGGCAAATTTAGAAGCTTAACTCAAAAGGAAATAAGATATTTTAATATGATTCTCTGATCACTGATAACTGAAAAAGTCTATTTGAATAATATAGGGAATTGTGCACCAAAATAGATCATGCTTAGAATTAGCATTCGAAAAAGGATTCTTGAAAAAAAGCCTTTAAAGAAAGATTTTAGGGATACCCTAGAAATATTTGGAAGAATATTACAAACTAAAGACTTCTGTCCCTTATTTGCTCCTCAGAAGTATTTTCCATCAATAAAGACATGTTTTGAATTGTTTTTATCATCGACATTTCACACACACACACCCAAAATATAAAAATCTATCATTGCACCCTTTATAATGTACCAGAATTTACCAATGCCACTAGACATTCTTAGCCCCTGAGACACTACTTTTTTCATTTCATAAAGGCAGAGGAGTATTCTGAGTGGTTTGATGAATTTTTCTTTGGGAAAAACAATTTTTAAAAAATAAATAATATCAAGTGCTTATTTTTCAGCTTCTCAGATGACCTTTCAAATAGTTGTCATACAGAATAGTCCTGGTTTATTGGGAATAAACAGACATAACTGCTGGACGCTGGAGGTTTAAAGTATTGTTAAACTGCGAAAATTCAAAAGCAATGATGTTTTATTATTTAAAAACAAACGTGTCTTTTTATCATATTTTTCCTTGACGCATTAGTATTTGTTCAAGAATTAAAAGGCCATGAGCTTCTGTTTCTTTATGTTTACCTTGCAATTCTGCTTGACAAATGTTTATTTCTGAAAGAAAGTAAAATTGAGTATATTTAGGACAATAGAATCAGTATTACCTCAGTTTGATTTTCTTTTAGGATGTTACATTTTTCCTAAGTAACAAATACCAGGTAACTTCCAGAAACAGGATTTAGATGACAGTTTTACGTTTTAGTGCGTATGTGTGTGTGCACATGAGCACGTGCATATATATAACTATATAAAATATATTTTCTTTTATAACAACATCTAAGTGTCTCTTGATTCAGCTAGTTCTATCATAGCAATCACATGTTGTAGGGAGCTCTTTTGTACCATTAATAATAACTAAAACACAATCGTCTTTTTAAGGAAGAGAAAGAGAAGAGGGAAAAGGTGGAATTTGAAAAGGGGGGAAATCTGTTCCTATTCCTTCCCTGAGGCTGAACTGTTTATCACTCTATCCTCATTCGATAAAAATGAATTTTATAATAATATTTTCCCTAATCGGGCACTGTCAGTGGAGGTGTCTTATCGCTGAGAGGAAAATGACACCGATCCTATCGGAAAACAGAAACGATGTCACCATGTTCCCAATCACAGCTCTTCAGCCCCCATATCTACCTTCTCCACAAACACCAAGCAGTGCTTTTTTCATAAGAACATCAAAACCGGGCAAAGTCATTAAAATTGCACCCGCGTAGAGTTGCAGGGACCAGCCGCACTAGCGCAAAATGGGATGTGGGAAAACAGACTCTCTAAATGTGCTAATTCCATTGTCACGTGTTTACGGCTTAATTTTAATCAGTTAAAAAAGCCACACATTGCAATAAATTGGCATTATCTTCTGTGACACCAGAAGACACAGTTGGTTCAAGGATTTAGAGGGTCACTGGCAACAGTATATAGTATTACAGACAAAGTATTTTTACGCTTGAACTGCGGTAGCTAAGGTACAATCCCCAGTTAAGACTGCAAACAAAGACTATAACCCACATTGCACTAAGTTCAACTTGCAGACCACCTCTATCCTGGATGGACTTTGTATGCAAAACAAAGAATTTTGAGAATTTTTTAAAGAGTAATTTATTCATCATATAAAAAAATTTTAAAGTAGCCTTTCAGTGCTGTCGCCTTACTGCATACTTGGCAAGAGACCAATAGTCTTTTCCATAGGTCCTCTCAGTAGACTTGTCTTCCAGTGCTGATGTTTCATTGACTGTGTTTATGTTGACCGTCCGACTTGTGAGCCTAAACAAAGATACATTAACACGCTTGAGGAAATGCAAACAGAAAATAGTGTCATTGACAATTGTTGAAGGCCAACAGTGAAAGACTATCTCTAATGGTCTTAATTTATTAACGTCAAATTAGCACCAAGATATTTTTACACAATTAAGTTCAGAAACTACTGAAGTAGAAACTGCTGGCAAATTTCATTTTAATTTGTTCCATGGGGTTATTCTTAGGAGATACATATTTCTATTTCAAAGAAGCACAACCCCTTGGATGTGGACTGGCCACTCTGCATAAGAATATCTGTGAGTGGCTTTGGGACAATAAGTCAATTTCCATGTAAATTGTCAGTACATTTGAACATTAGACATCATAAAGTTTGTTTTAAAACATCTACTAAAATGTTCAGAACTGTCTGACCTCTGTAGTTTGTGAAATAACAGTGAGGAGAAAAAAAAATACCCCAGTTTCATCCTGAAACTGGGGTTTTTTTTTTTTTTTTAGTTGACAAATCTGACCTTGAGGGAGGAAAAAAAAATGCAACCATAACTTTTATGGAATGAAAAGAGCTTTCAGAATTAAATCATTTGGCAGTGACTGAAAAAAATAAACATTTGAGTGGCTTTTGTTTTAATTTTGTTTAGCGCTTTGTTGATCTGTTTGTACCAAAAGCAATAGAAAGAAGAGACGAAGTAAGAGTGAACCAAATAGAAATAATGTTTCAGCGCATTGTGCTTGTCTTCACTGTAAGTTCAGTTTTCTGTAGTCGATGTCAAATTGATCAGACTTCTGCTGCGTGATTGAAGTACACTTTTTAAAAAATCTCATATTGTGAAGTTAAAATGATTAAGTTGTAATGCCACTAAAACAGTTTTTCTGATTGCACTCACTTTGCCACAGAGGTTGTCTGAGTTATTGCATTTCTTCTAAACAACTTGAGTAAATTTACAGGGTCAATCCCTTTTTAAAAAACTAATAGGGAAGAGGAATGAGTGCAAATTTCGAACACAGTTCTTTTCTCTGCTAGGATTAGCAGCGGGTTCTGCATGAAGGGAGAGAAGTTGGGGACATATAGGAAGGACTTCCCTCTATGATGACTCTTGGCTTTTTAAAGGAGACGCTCACAAAAAATAACAGGAACGTCAATTGTGTAAAATGGGATGCTGGTTTTTGTTACGTGTCTAAAAACGGTTTCATTGATTTTGCTCAGACTTTACTACTGGCTATGGGTCTTGGTCGATGATTTTTTTTTTCTTGTTTTTCTTTTTGAGGAGATGAACTAGTTTAAATTTTCATGTAGATACATACATATATATATTTTTTTTCCTCATTGTGTGTTAATGGTAAAAATGTTGTCCAAGATGATGATTATGTGCTGCCTTAAAGAGAAACAGCTCCCCCTCTGTGTTTGACTGGAGACCCATAGGATGTGTTGATTGAAGGAGATTTATGGGAGATAACGTGTTTATCAAGTTCTTACATGAGGTAGCAGAACAGGCTTTATTTAGCCTCCCTACACCATAAAATCAATTAGCCTAATACAATTGCTAAGTTGAAATCATGTTTCTGACTTAAAATTTGTAACGTATATATTCAGTGTCTTTTTGGGGAAAGTCACTATTTTGAAAAGATTACAAATCACAGCGTCATAGTTATTAACCTGACAGAAAACAACTGTGGAAATAATAGTCCAGCCACAAAACACCATGCTTCTTTAGGTTTTTTGATAGTGGAGAAAATAGAACATTTTTAATCTATTTGGAGGCTATGTAAAATCAGTTAAAAACTATAATACTTCATGGTTAATGAAAAAGACCGTATTTTATTTATATTTCTTCTCAGTTTAGTTTCACAAATAGCAGTTATGCATTAGAAGCTGAATTCTTTCATGTGAGCTCTCATTTTTAAAAACTATATTGTATTTTTAAACCCTATTCATAACTTACACAACTCACTGTAGTGTACACATCAGTTAATGTTGTGTTATACTTTTCTACACATAGGCTGCGCCATTGAGCCACTAGTTAAAGGAATAATTCCTGTGCTGCCTGTAGTTTCGCAGAAATGGAAATTTGGACTGCATGGGAGTGAAAAAGACTGGCTTTCAGGTTTTTAAATGTTTGTTACCAAAATTAACACAGGGGAAAAAAAGCGTATTTTGATATACCTAACAAACATTTTTGGATCTTTTAAGATATTTCCTAATAATTTTAAATTGAATGCTTTTGAAAAACACACATATTTTTTTTCAAGTTTTTAATTATTTATTATATCCCACAGACAATTAGAAAAAGCGTAAGAAAAACATAAATCTAGAACTACAATGTTTCATTTAAGCATGTGAAGTCATTTTAGTATTTTTATGTGACTGAAGATTATTTAAAATGTATTATAATTTAAAAGATACAGTATTTAAAAATAACTTTGAAGTGTCAAATATAATTAACATAAATGTGTGCTTAGAAATTTTACATTAAAATCTAACTATTCAAAAAAAAATAATAAAATCTAACTATTTAACTTCCATATCTGCATGAGAAATTTGTGAAGTCAAAGTGAATATTGTTTCTTCTCTCATGGAATATAAGAAACTTCAATAAACCTAAATTAAGAACTAGTTTGTTGTTATGAATACACACTGAATTTCCATTAATATTGGGACTAGTGGACATATAAAAAACTATAGTAATGTCTCTATTATATTTTTACCCTTTGGTTTAAGAATACTTTAAAATAATAGATTAAAATAATATTTACAACTATATTACATTTCAACCTAGATGTTTCTTGACCTTTATATATTGGAACATAAATTTTAAGTATAATCAAATACTTTTGTTAAATATGTGAGAAAACTAAACTTTATATGTAGGGTAAAACGTCATTCTTTGATCTTGGCATTTTGTAGATCTGCACATTCTGAAAACAGTGCTCTGGGACTCTTTCTTTGCATAAATACATCTTGTTTAAATCATTGTTTTTGTATTTAGTAGAGTGACTTTTCTGAGAAAAGTGAGGTATTTCTCTCTGCTAGTAGTGGAGAAGTTTGTGATTGAAAATCTAAGCAGTGATATTTACAGTTAACCCAAGGCACAAGTTCTGAAAGTGTAGTGTTGTTGCCAAATGTGGCTCTTGCTTGGATCCCCAAAATACAGAGCCCCACATGCTCCTGCTCATAAACGCCTCCTTGTGAACACCCCATGATTTCATATGTGAATCTTCAGGGTAGAGTTTATAAAAGTATGTTCTTCAACCAGTTCTGTGTTGGGGCGGTCTTCCCCAGTGTTTATTTATACTGAGGCTAACCTGCAGCCAATTTGGGCATAGTATCTAAGTTTATCATAAGAAAAAAAAAATCTTACTTATAGCTAGTAAAAATCCATTCTGTGTAGTGCAACCTATTTTTGTAAAACACCATTTTTATAGCTCATAATGTAATTTACTTTAGAAAATGTGGTTTGTTAGGAGTATGATTTTTACCATTTTATGCATTCATAAATGAATGAATTCCGGGCACACAGTTCTATTTCTCATTACCAAGAATAGTATGATGTGAAAGGTTATTATTGCTTACAATTATATCATCTTAATTCTAGTAAGAGAAATAAGTCTGTGATATCAAACATATTAGGGTTAACAGAGTGATTTGCAATTTACAGCATTAGGCTAATACCTATTTTATATCTTAGTGTATTTTATGTTATCAGTTTTTTTTTCCTGAGAGTACATAATGATATCAAAGCATTAGCAGTGTAATTGGGGGAAGATGATTCTTCTTGGGTATCTGACAAGTTGGATCATTGATATTGTTAGTTTGTTACTTGTAGAACACCTCTGTGGTATGATTTGAGATACTCAGTAAGTGCTATAGGGTAACCTGTCCAAATCCAAGAATAACAGTTATTCTAAAAGGTATGATAGAACATAGACATGTTAATGACATGTCTTTCTGTTAATGACCTTAGATCATAAGAATCTTTCTGGAAAGGAGATTGAAAAGGAGTAATAAGAATTGACACTTACACAGGGCTCACATCTATGTAGTACATGGGACTCGACTGGCCTTTGTTTATATGTTACTACATTTGAAAATGACTAGGTAGATTTTCACTATCTGGAGATTATATTTGTGATCATCTCACTTAAAATAAGGCTGTGTAATATAACCCAAATTCATTATGGGTCCCAAGGTGGTATTTCATAGCTGTTTCAGAGTGGCTAAAACTGAGGTATCAAGAGAAATATGCTATACCTGTTAAGATACTATGGACAGAGTGGGGGAAAAGTGTGTGGTTTCAAATATAAGCACCAAATTACAAATCCCAGAAAGAATTACACACACCAAGATGTGATGGAGCTGCTTTTCCTATTAGCAGCTCTGTGTAGCTGCACTCCAGGTGTGGAGCCAAGAGAATTATTTACCAAATGATGGCAAATGATTTTCCTTTGAAAGGTTGGAGAGTTCTAAATAAGATCCCCAATCTTATCCTATAGCAACCACCCAACAGCTAAAAATTACCATGTACAATTACTCTCTCTCTTTGAAATTCGTTTAAATGGTCATATTTTACTTACTTACATTGTTTATTCAATTTGGGGATTATCAAGACTTCATGCTTCTCCTCTTGCTTCCTATAACTCTCCTTTGACCACCTCTCCACTTCCGTGCTTTTCTGCCATGGAGCAGGCCCACTCAAGAGGTGAAACTCAAATAGGCTAATTATGTGCTTTCTAGAAACCCAAATAATAGATTTGTTGAGAAGGGGAACAACCATTTGTTGAGTGCCAAACATACACTTCGTTTGAGCTTCATAATTATCTTAAAAGGTAAGTTCTATTGCTCCCATTTTACAGATAGGAAAACTGAGGTCCAGAGAAGTACCCAATCCAAATGAAGGCCCTTCTGAAGTCAAATCCCTTACTTTGTTTCATTATCACATGCTAAAGATAAATTGTTTAGTTATCCCGACTGACTTCTAGTGTAGAAAACAGAATTGAAAGGCAAGTTGGAACATCTCTTGAGTTAATACTTTGAAGACAGTGGTTGACATTTTCCCCTCTTCCTGAGCCAACTCCCATAGCAGCATTATCTATGATACTGCTGGCAGATAGGTGTACATTGGTGAGCATGAGAACTGGCTAGCAAGGAGGGTATCCAGGGAACACTTTGGAAGGTGGTGATGTGATGTTGCTGTGAGCCTGCTTCGGAAAGTGGGTAAAAACCCGCAACAGCCCCACCTGGGTGCTTACTAACAATGCAGCTGCCTGTGCCCCGGTGCTGATTGACCGGATCCAGATCTCTGGGGGTGTGGCCCAGACGTCTTCACTTCCAAGAAGTAACTTCAGGTGCTTTACTGTAGCATACAAACTTCTGAGTGTTACTGCTTTCATGTATGAAATACGCACGAACCTCGGAGAACCTAGACTTTGAAACGCCACGTGCCTGTCTGCAAAGTCTGTTTTTTCTCTAGAGAATTGTCTTTTCTGTGCAAAGTGTCCATTTAGTACCACTAATACCCGACATTTTGGCGCTCAAACACTCGAAGACTTAATTAGAGGGGCTTCTTCTTTAAAAGCCTACTGCACGGTATCTCATACAATAATGCTCCTACAATACAATATGTGGCTTATTTTTTTTTTGGTCCTTTTTTAAATATGAAGTGAAATGTTGCCCTGAGCAGCATCATTTTATAATAGGAAATTATCTTTTGCAAAAAATGAGATCAGGGCATACATCTGGAAATCCAACAAACTCTAAACTGCGTGCACAATTTTTTTTTTTTTTTAACTTTGGAAACTGATGGCTGCCTGAAGGCTGAATATTTAAGGTCAGTTTCCCTGTTTCCTTCATTTTCACCCCATGGCAAAGCAAGGCAAGACTTCCTATGGAAAAAAAAAAAAATGAAAGAAATAAAAGAAAGCCCAATATTGGCATTCCATTGGTAAAGATTGAGCCTAGAATTTCTAATCTTTTGAATATTAGAAATTATAATGTTCAGTTGATAAATTAGTACACAATATATTCAGATGCAAAGTTCAGTGAATGTTGACCCACATTTTGAGACATAAGCAAAAAGGTAGCAGCTTTAAATGAAGGGAAAAAAAGTATTTCAATAAAGTTTAAATTTGAAAGTGAAGTGTTGGGCACCTGGGTGGCTCAGATGGTTAAGCTTCTGCCTTCAGCTCAGGTCACGATCCCAGGGTTCTGGGATCGAGTCCCGCATCGGACTCCCTGCTCAGCGGGGAGCCTGCTTCTCCCTCTGCCTCTCTCTCTCTCTCTGTCTCTCATGAATAAATAAATAAAATCTTTAAAAAAAAAAAAAAAGAAAGTGAAGTGTTGTTCATATAGCTGCCTGAGTATCTCTGCGTACAGCATTTCCTTGAAGAGGTTCAAATGCCAGCTGAGTTTTCATATTCATTTTTCTCACCAACTTCTGGTGTCAATAAAGGACATTTTATCTCATTGATGTTATTGTCTATCTCAGAATTTTTTCCACATTCCTCCTTCCTAGTTTTTGTTGAATGAACTGAGATAAGAGAGTTAACAAATAATAGACTAAAGATAACAGTGGTGGTAAACATTAATTGAGCAGTTACTGTGTGCCAGGCACCATGTCAAAGAGTTTACATAAATTATTTCATGTAACTCTGAAATAACTCTGAGTATTATTATCCTCACTGTACAGATGAGAAAATCAGCAACCAATGCAGCTAATATTTATCAAGCATCCTCTGTGTGCTGGGTACTGTACTGTGCTATTCCCTATGTTATCTTAATCTTCAAAGCTTTCTATTTGTGGTATTTGGGTATTTATCTTTATTTCACACATGAGGAAATTGAAGTTGAAGGACCAAGTGGCTTATTCAAAATGACAAGTAACTTATAGATACTAGAGATTCCAGGCCTCTTGATTCCCCATTCTACTTTGTGGTTGTCCTAAGCTGCATTTAAAATATCTTCCCCATCTTGTTTATTCTTTCCATGTTTATACTCCAAAGAAAAGACTAGTAAATATCCCACGTATCCAGTGATCCATCTTGAGGAAAACTATTCTTCTCTAGGGGACAACACTAACCTTGGAAAGATATCTTAGGATGCCTTAAAAAACCCCACGA